ATTCCATGGTCATTCCATATGGAATCCATGAGGTCTATGGAATAAGGAAATGGCTGGGTCCTCAGCCAACATGGATTCCATACGGAATAACCCGGGGAAGGTAAAGACCTCCTTTCTTGGACCTCTTGCTCTTCTTCTTGCCTTTCCTATCAGATGACTCCCTACTCTCTGCACGTGATCCTGATGCCTGTAATGCAGCTGCCCTTTCAGCTATCTCCCTTTCCCGTTTCTTCTTCTGAATATAATCCTTCAAGTCCTCAAAGCTGTATGACCCTTTCTCTTCACCCCAGACAGCCCTATCCGACTTTCAATCATCCTCCAGAGCCAGCCAGTCCTGCATCACAGGAAATCTAACAGCATCATCAAATGCTTCCTTCCAAGTCCCATAGTACTGTGTCTTTGCTACAAATATCTCAATAAAGTCTTTGAGAGATGGAACCCATTGTTTCTCCTCCAAGGCAAGCCACTCAGAATCTCGACCCAGTGGTACTATTCAATACACTCTTTTACCCTACTAAATATACCATTCTGCCTGAAATCGGGAACAATTCGAGGCTGCCATTTTGTCACTTGGTCACTTCTGACATATGACTTACCCACTTGTGTCTTCACTTCAACTTCACTTGAGCTCACTTGCATCAAGAGGAATCACTTGGCCAAGGCAGCAACCTACTTAGCCAAGTGAGTTTCATTTGGCCACTTGAGTTCACTTTCATCACTTGGCCACTTGTCAAGGTGACCTAAGTGACATAAGGGGATGTGTAGTTCTCCTGATGTACAAAATTATCAACGAGAAACTAAGCAGCCCTTCTGTTTCCTCCACAAAGGGTCCAAACAATGAAGATGCGTCCCAACTGATGAATGGTGATGGGACACTACTCTACAGTCACACTCTCATTGACTTACTTTTGCCTTGCACATGTCCCTTCCTTTCCTCTTTCCATGGTGATAACTATTCCTGTTGCCCAGAAGATTGGGGCAAAATACTACAGTTCCCAGAGCCATGTTGCAGCCAAGGATTGCGACGGATGTAGTTGCTGCTTTGATGATGGTCCTGAAAGTAAATTCGGCGGCGGTGTAGCAAGCCACAGCGACAGTGTTGCATTCTACACATGTGCAGCTCCAGTGTGAGGGTGAGGGGCAAGACCTTTTGAAATATTCAAACACACCAGTTTGCCATATGCAATAAGGAGGCTGAAAAAAAATTAGTGACTTGACCTATTTTTGTAGCCTGAGCATCAGCCAATCATCTGTTCTGTCTGAGTGAACTCTAGTGTGTCACACTTTGTCTTATGCATTGCCTCTTCATCACTCTGGGAGCGAGGGAACCTTCTTTTTCCTCCTCCAAACAAACTTTGTCAGAAAGAAGGAAGTTTGTTCAAGGCTTTCATTGGCAAAAGTGGAAAGCCACTTTCTACACCATGGCTAAGCTTTATGCAATTTCACCTGAATGAGCCTTTTTTCTACTTCACAATTTATTATTTCGCATGTAAATACGGTGTTGACAGTTTGTTAAACTTGCTGCTTTTCACATATGTTCCTCCATGAAAGACTTGCATGCAGAGCATCTTCAACTGTTATTTGCAAGTTTGTGAGTTCTCAGTTGATATAGGCAGGGGCTGAGGTTGGGCTGAGGTACAAGCCAGGACTGTGGGACAAAAAAACATCCAATAAAACATCAGAAGTCGGAAAACATACCTTATATAGTAGGAGCGGGGGGAGGTCAACCAAATCCACGAGAAAAAAATAGGGAGTGTTGGTACATTTTCCACATTCTGCCACCCCCTTGGCCTACAGAGATATAGTAAAATGTACAGCCTCGCAAATTTGCGAGTCGGGAGTCGTAGTTGCAGTGCCTACATACTTCATAAACCTCAAATGTAGCCTACAAGATGGAGCTCGTGTGCAGACGGTTGTCACGACCAGATCTACCAACTTGGGCAACCACGCAATGAATTGTCAACTGAACATTGTAGCTTGAATGTCCTGACAGAAGTAGGGATGGCAGCTTCGACTACTACTTTGAAGGAGTTAATCTTGATGGGTCTTCTGCAGATGAATCCAGGGACTTAGAAGAAATCGAAGAATTAAGTGAAGATGAGGCTTAAGGGACTTAGGCTTAAAAATGGCTAAGTTGAATAAAGCCCCCAACAGTTTACAAACACAATGGGCAAGCGCCTTCTAGATTTTCCATGTATAGTCAACTATACATGCAGGCTCTAGGTGTCTGTCTACCAAAAAGTTCGAACAATTCTACTACCCCTTAGTAACTTTGCGCTCAGCGATCTAGGCAAGAGCAATTTCGTAATCAGTGACAAGTATGTTGCTAAGACGAAGCTCCAAGTCAAGGTGTTGCATGCTCAGAAGGACACATTCACGAAGATCGACCTCTTGCTGCTTGAAATAAGCAAGGGTGGGATAAGCCAGCATGCGGTTGGTAACAGCAGCATGTTCACACACTAAGATCTCCCTGTACAAGGGGTTGTCGATGAGCAGGGAGTTGGCAGACTCGTCTACAACACCACAAGGAGCAGTGATTGTCTCAACACAATAAAACCGTGAAGGACTGAAGTAATGAGATCTTTCAATATCAGGTGTAGGTTCATCATGGCGTTGAGTATTTGACTCTCTACCAGATTGCCAAGGCATTCTCTCATTAGGCCTTCTTAAAATTCGTCTAACACCAGATAAGGTATTTGAACTTCGGTTATAGGCATTTTTTGACCACTGTTCCTGATGAGCTGGAATTGTGCATGCCAATGTTCCAACCTTCTTTGTATTTGTACAACCCTTTATATGACACTTTATTCCATATTCAGCTTCATGCACAGGACAAAATACACCTCCTCGAGCATTGCCAAGTGCTGATGTGCAATCACCATATGCACAATGAGTTAGTCCCATTACAATTCCATCTACAACTACCATCTTAACAGGTGCATGGTCAACATCCATAGGCTCATCATCTGAGTCCTCCTGCACACGAGATGCAAGCTCTCTTGCTCTTGCAGCATCTTGTGCAGCATCTGCTGCCCCTTCTCCAGTCAGAGAAGGTACAACTCTGTTCTCATCTCTACCAACTAAGGCAGCAGGATCATCACCAGTGAGAAAATCAGCTTTCTTTTTGTATTTTTGGGTACACTCAGAACAGGAGTGTTGACCTGCAGGAAGAATTATTCCATTTGCTCCCAGTTTACTGAATGCTTCACTAGTTACCTCATCAATGGACAGTCCATCTGCTATTGTTCGTATAGACTCCTGAACAAATGCCTGCCAGACTTGACGACATGAGATCTTTATTGGTTTGCCCTTACATAATTCTCCAAAAGTGTTATTCCAAAAGTCAGTGTAGGCATTTGCAGATGCATGAAAATTATACATTGCATTTAAAACAGCTGATGAAAAAATACAATCAACCCAAACATTCTGGCCCACTTTCAAGTATACAGCAGAGTTCAAGTACACTCGATCAAATGACCCAGTCTGTCCAACTACTCGTTCACAATCAGCAGAATATTGGGTCTGACATTTTGGGCAAAGACCAGTAAGGACATAGCTTTTCTTATAAATGTCAGTGCCTTTTATCAATGTAACTTCAGGAATATCTCATGGTCAAACATTCTGGAGTAGTGACCGTGGATTGCATGTCATTGTTTCACATTCAACTGGTATAGGAGGTTTTCTGGAAACCCCAGACATCCACACTAGAGGAGCTGTCCTCTCCATCCTCCAGCCACTCAACCATGTCTGGATACTTGGAGATGTTGGAAAAGAGTGCAACATAGTACTGATGCCACATATACTTCGAGATGAAAATCTCAATAATATCTGTAGCAGTTGGCTGAGGGCAGCTAGTAGGCCATGCTCCAGTAGCTCTTAATTTATTAAAGTCCTGCATATGCCAGAGTAAGGGGAACTTTCCCCTCTTGGTTCATCAAATGGGGTGAGACCTTAAGTATAGTAGCAAGCTCCAGCTTATAAGCTGCTACAAGATTCTTAGACTTTCTAGATGTCTCAACAGCCAAGTTAAGAGCAGCAGACATAGAGCCAGATAGAGCAACAGAGACTGATCGCAATGCAGACACAGATCTAGAATGAGAGACGGAGTGAGAGACAGTGCCAGAAGCAGGGGTGGCTTCTAGACCAAAAGAGTTCTAGAAAAGACATTAGTGGAGAACTCACATGCTTGAATAAAGCTACATACAACCAGAATCGACAAAATATACTTTCCCTTTTCCTTATTATAAACCATTTCACATCTTCATTCTGTTCCAGAGCAAATTCATAAGGCCCTTTAAGATACCAAATACCATCAACATTGTCCCAAGTTAACAAAGTGACATTGGAGTCTGGGGGCAATGTCATTCAGCATGTTAAATACAAATCCGGAAATCCGGATGTTTTTTTCAGCCCTATTTTCGGAGCAGTGACATTAACCAAGTTAATCCCAAATCTGGATGTTTTTTCAGCCGCATTTTCAGGGCAATGTTATTCAGCATGTTAAATCCAAATCCGGGTGTTTTTTCAGCCACATTTTCAGGGCAGTGACATTCACCAAGTCAATGACAAATCTGGACATTTCTTTGGCTGCCTTTTTGGAGCACTGGTATTCTGCATGCTAGTGACAAATCCAGTGATACAGTGTGGCAGTATCATGTAACTTCTTCAATCTTTTCTCCAGCCCCTTGCCTTCGTCCTACATGCAACTCGCCTGTTGGAAAGCAACCATCTCAAGTTCATATTTCAACTTGTTGGATGCTAAGATGTGTTGTTGATCATGTATGGCTTTGTATAACCTCACTTCTTCATACATATTGCGACTTTGCCTGATAACACTCTGCCAGTTATAACCAGCCACAACATCAAATTTTGAATGCCATTCAGCCGAGAAATGCTAATACTTTCACACACAGGCATTCACAAAACATCAACTCCCTCTAACATCCCCCTGCTTTGGCCGTTCAACAGAAAGACGTTGCCAAGTGTTGTCTCCACAACAAGGAGCAGGGGTAACATATTGCTACTAACTTCCGAAAGATCTACATGCCCTATACCTGCAGCTTGTTTACCAAGTATGAACTGCTGTGGGGCCCATGGTTGGAAAGTTTGTAAATTTTTTGAGAATTCTCAGCTTGACCCACAATATGAACTTGGGGCTGAGTAGTATTACGTTTTCTATGTGATATCGGAATTAGTTTTTTTCTTATGATCACATTAATAGGCCATCAGATTGGTACCTATAGTAAAGTCAATCAGACGTCACGGTGTCTCTTTCAAGTTACTACTACTAGTACATTGACCTTGCTCAATCTCTCTCTTACTTTTTCAACCCACCACCTGACCAGTCCACCCCCTTTGGTGGCGAGACGTAGTAGTACTCCTGATGAGAAATATCGATGATGTTCAAACAACTACTGTCGCGGCACCTCAGACAACGAAATTCAATTGTGATTCTTCACAACTACTCATGTCTTTGCCAGGGCGCACTGGTTGTATAATATTACAGTCCAACCTCTGTGATATCTCTGTCACATCAAAATACAGGGCTTTGTTAGAGAAACTAGAGAATATAGGGGACTGGGAAGTAAAAGCTCGTGTTGCGTTCATGGTGGTTGTTGTTCATGGGTGCTCCTGGGCATGTGGGGCTCTTTTCATGGGTGTATGTCATTCGCAGCTGGGCAGGCTCATTTGTTGTCATGCTGTGGGTGTTCAGCGTCGTGTCTGGGCGCTCATGGGTGGTGGGGGTCGTTTGGGGTGGTGTACATTGTTCGTGGGTGGGCGGGTTCTTGTTTGTTGTCATGTCTGTTAGTGTTGCATTGCCACGTCGCTGACTGCAACATGGCACCTGGTTGTTGGTGTTAAAAGCGGACTGGGAGGGGCTACATTCGTTTTCTTACCTGGGCCAAAGACGACGCAGAACGTCAATGGACGTGCTGCTTGTCGTCGTCGCCTCCCAGCCATCCAGTATGACATGGTCTTTTTTCCAACAGGTATATTGAATATGTGCCTTGACTATAAAGTAACAATGGCAATATACAAATACAAATAAACACTCACCATGAAGTCCAGCCTTTGGTGGTCTATCAATAGACTTTGTAGTCAATATCCAACTTTGTAGTCTATGTCTGACATTTGTAGTCTTTTATTGATTATCAGTGAACTTTGAAGTATATGTCTAACTTTTATAATCTTTTGTAGTTTGTTAGCAACTGGTAATGCTCACTGTTGATGATGATATTGGAGAATGTTTTCAAAATCAAGAAAATAGAGGCACAATCATAGAAAATGACAGGATATTCTCAGTGGTAGTGATCACATTAGCTAATGTGTTCAGGGTCCAAGGTGGACATCCAAATATGGTAATCTATCCAAAAATAGTAATAAAATGGCAGAAAAATCAGAGAACATTGAGGGATGCTGCTCATTGTTGGTGATGATGTTGGGTAACAGTTTCCAAGTGAACTTCATAATATATAGAATCCAGGGCAAGATTCAAATAGGAAAATTTACCTGTTTGTGATAAAAATGTACCCAGAAAAACAGAAAAAGACAGAAAAAAAATAGAAATTCATTACTATTGCTTTTGCCATGCTTGCAATGGTCTCTTACACAAGTTCAAACTGGTCATCAAAGGCATGCTTGAGTGATTCATAGTTGGCTTTCCCCCAGTTGGCCTGGCCATGGCTCTGAAGAAATGCTAAGCACACGCCTTTTGCCCAGCCTTTCTTCAAGGTGTGGAGTAGAGGCCCTGACTCCCTAAAATGGAAAACCATAAACAAAAAATAACAAAACACCTTTATCCCAACCCACCATGAAGTGCCAGAGTGATCAATCCCCAATATTCAATGTTTACTCCCTCTTTCGACATCCTCTTCCACTACAATGGCATGGCTACCTCACAACAATGTGCCAACCAATACAGGTGCCTCCTTGGCAGACAGCAGCTGTATATGTTCTGATTACTGGTACATTTCAAGGGCTGATATCATTGTATGCATTGATGCTTGTTTTGCTCACAAAAGAAACCCTGCAAAAGGTGGGGCAAAGGGACCTGAAAATCTGCATCCTGATACAGTATTTGTGCCTGAGAAATATGTAATGGAGATGAAGGCTTTAGTTGAGACAGTTGGACCAGAGAAGTCAAAAGGAAAAGAAAAAGCTAATGTACCATCTGACGAACAATCTGCTGAAGACTCATATGAACCTGGCATGAAGGTCCCTGTCTCAGCTTTGGAGGGATGCCTGGCCTCCTTTATTGCAGCAGATGAGAGAAGAACTAAAGCCAGCACACAGTTCTTTGCAGATACAGGGCCAAATAGTTCTATCATCAGCTGCTTACCATTGATGGATAAAAAGTCTTTTGATATGATGGGTAAATGGCTTCAACGCAAATGGCTGACTTGCTTGGAAAGAAAATTTGAGGCTAAAGAAATTCTCAATGAACTGGGGTTTGAAATTTCTTACCTGGAAAATGAATGGAAGCAGCAAGTGGCTACACAGACCAAGCCTTTGGTACAATTGATGAAAATGTAAAGACAAAGAAGAAAAGGCTTGGGGTGAAAGATCAGGAAGATTTGAAAAAGTTGATGGAGAATAAGTTTCTTCAATTGAAACTTAATGCCAGGGCTCTTAAGCAAAGACTCAGAGATTGTTTAAGAAAGCGTAAATTTGAATTTGAGAGACACTTCAGTCACCCACCTTGACCAAGGTATTAGCCTTGAAACATATGGAAATATATCCAGGCTAAGAGGTCCTTGGGCCGTTTATTTTTTTGCCTCTGGGGGAAATATATTATTGCATTGGGAAAAATGTTTGACCTTCAATATTGTGACCGGAAATGTTTGGGTTGATATATTGCATTGAAAAATATCCTAGCCATTTGAAAGTGGTCAGAAATGTTTGAAGCATGTTTGAGTGGTAGCAAATATTTGAAGTGTTTCAGACTGGTCAGAAATGTTTTAGCTATATGACACTGCTGAAAAATGTTTTAGTCATGTCACACTTCACACTGCTGAAAAATCTTTTGACCATGTCACACTGCTTGAAAATGTTTTAGCCATATCACATAGGCAAGAAATTTCCTGCCAGTGTCATGGAGTATCTGGGGTCCTAGTTTCAAAACAAAACTTCGAAAATTTCTGACCATTCAAACTTTTAATCTACAAAATTTATCATAAAAATAAATTTGTCAAAAAAGTTCAGAACAACTGAAACCAAGCTACAAGTACAATAGATCAGAAAATGATTAGTGACTTCAACAAAAAAAAAAGAGAAAAAAAGCTACTACTTCAACAACTTCTTGTGAGACTTCTGAGCCTTCTTCTTTCCTTTCCCTGTGTGTTCTTCTTCAGGACTAGATGTTCGCCGTGCTTTCAATGTTCCACCTCTTTCCACCCAAGTCTTCAGATCCTCCATTATAAATTTTGTCTGGTCTCAAACACCCCAAATTCGTTTAGTACTCTATAACAATAAACTCTGTGAAAGGAGGAAGGTCTGCAGGCCAGTTCCCAGTACTGAGCATTTCTTGAGCCTTGGCGATAGCGGCTGTACATTCCTGATACCGACCCCAAGCAAATCGAAGGCCTGGTGCAGAACAGTTTGTGAAGGTAGCATTAATACTGAGCTCTTGGATAAGACACTTTCTCAAGGTGGGAGTTATCGTTTTGCCTATGAGCCAGTGATCCTTAGAAGAGCCTTGTGCTGAGATAAGATGAGAATCAGCACAAGACCTGCCTGGACGATGAGAAGACCATGACACGCAGGAGTGTGGAAAGTGCAATCTGATGCACTGACAAGATGCGTGAACACCTAAACAACACACACACACACACTAACACATTAAACACTTATCACCACAGGTATGTGCTTGGTGCTTCGAGTTTGGGTTCATACAGTAAATAGAATTACCACACTTTTTTTGTTAGAACTTAAGTAAAAGTTCGGGGAAACAATTTTGTATATTTTATATCACTTGTCTAATTCTAGTCAACCTTTTGGAACAAATGGTATTGTTTTTATGTGTGAGCACAAGTATAGAATTCGAAACTCAATAGTCTTCAAGGGAAAAAGGCTTTTATTGGGACTACCTCAGTGTTCTGGGATTGTGTTCTAACTGTATAAAGAGAAATGACAAGGAAATTGTGCTTTGTAGACTTTTATAACTCCCTCGAGCTTTTATTATGCCTCTGATTCAATCCAAACTAGTCTTAAAGACTCTTCAAGCACGCTCACTTGGATTCCTCAGTAATAGTAGAGAGCTCTCTTACTAATTGACGAGACAACCTTACAAAAGCTTAGTGATCCCCACTTAACATGCTGGTTCCGGGCACACATTACTTATGTCTGTGAAGAAAATGTCCTTTAATTGATTACACACTTATCCACTACCTCAGGTGCTACTGGGAGTGCGACAGCTGGTCAACACAGGGGATAATTCCCTTCGTTTCAGCCTGCGCGTGTCCTCTTTTTATACTATTCTATGTTTTCTATTTATATTTACACGTCTGTGCATCGTCCGAGAGGTCGAATGAATTAATATTGGTTTTTAGTAAAGGTTTGAAGTGGCTCAGTTGTGTGTGGCACAACTGAGCTGACTTCTAGTGTTTGCTCTATTGTGGCAACATGACACATTAGTATTGATGCATACGCAGGAATCACTGTAAACAGTTTTCACGATCGGTTCAGCTGAGGCGAACAGTCCACTTAGTGATTTTCTCTCTATTATTAGATACTATGTATGGGTCTCGGACCGCACGGCAAATCATTCATATTTTATCTCTTGGGAGGAGGCTCTGGAATATTCTTCGAGGCTGAACACTCCTGGTTCAATGATGCCATGATGCGCGTGATGTGTATCACCACATGACTTCTTTGATCATGCTTCGTAGCACGTGACTAGTTGGCTTCTTGCATCAGGAATGCATTGGGTTATACGCTTGCACGTTGCTCATCAAATTACATTGTTTAATCCATGTTAGAAATAAACCCTGGTTTGGTGTAAGCTCCAACACCCTGTGCTGAGGTGTGTTTACTCTAGAACACCTTGATAGCAAACTATTTCATGGTAGTGTAGTCTTTTTAATAGGCTTCGAGTATATTGAAGTGGCCCAATCATGTGCCGACCGCAATTCCTACTGCCTTAAGACGCGCACATGTCTTGGATGAAGATGTTAATCAACTAGATTGGGCTGTATCTAACGATCCTTGTGATCAAAGCAATTGTATTTACTTATAGTAGGTTTTATTAGAGAAAATGTGCAAATTCGCAATTTTACAGGTGTATTCTTACACTCCATATCATTGGACAGCTTTTCTCAATGTTTCAATATCTCTAGCTTCTGATCAGCACTTGGATGACTGCCTTGAGCCTTAACAAAGGTGGCCATTTCAGCTCTTGATTGTTCAATGTTTGAATCTAGCAATATCTGACTTTACTCACTGGGCTTCCTGAATTTTGATACTGCTGTTTACCCATCCACTTAATCCCGGCTTGACCTTGTCTTCCTGTTCTTTAGTCATAAGTTTTAGCTGAATGCCCTTTTCAGTCTTGGCTGATTGAATGATTTTACAGCTGGCCTTTGTGATGGAAAATTTGGTCCTTACCTTCCTTGACCTTGACGTAATAGATGTCCATGGTGGAAAGGTCCTTTGCCCAGTTCAAATTTGCCAATTTGATCTGTTGCTCCCATTCTTGAATCTGTTCCATACTTGCCAAGGCACTTAATTCTTCAAGAGCCTGGAAGCTCTCAGAGAGCCTGAGTTTCGCTTGCTTCCACTTCTTGCAAAGGCTACCCACTTGACTTTTATTAGCTTAACAGCAATGTAAAAGCAGTTGAACATAGATACCCATATTGATCATTTTTTTCTAGTTGTTATCCAGCGTGTGGGCATCCAATACCTCCGATTGTGAAATTGCCATCGGCTACAAATCCTCGGGTATACTTCCAATTCTCTGGATCTTGGGGATTTTCATTCCAGTCATCAGGTAGATTGACTCCAGGCTGTGAGCAGGTCGGGCAAAAAAAGACCATCTCCCCCAGTCTTGGAGACCTTACCTTTGTGTCCAAATCCAAAAGTAGCCAGTTCGGTAAGATTACGGTATTGTCTACCAACCCTGATCAACTCGTGATACCAGTTCTGTCAAATATTTGAGCTGGGATTATAGCTCCTTACTTGAACAACATACCGGAATGGAATTCGGAAATGCAAAGTTGGTGATTCTTCTTAATTTGGAGTAGTAGTTAGTGGGTGGCCGAGGTTTTGCGCTCGAGATTTTCCAGCAGGTAGTCATCGAGGAGTTGAAAGGTAAATATGGTCTGGCAAGACTTGTAGGTGGATGGGTACAACCCAACACAGAACAACTGTATGTACTCAGGTGCTGCCCCTGAACATCCACAGAAGACGACTGGCAGGTGATGCACACCCAAAGTATGGACGATGGTCATGACCTGGCCACCATTGTAAACCCTATCTGGTGGCTTTGGATCAGCCGAAGTGCTAGGAAGGTCTTCAAGATCAAACCATCTGTCTTCTTCAATGTCAATATCAGCATCCAAGTTTCTGGCTGATTGAGGGCACCATTCACCTTGGTGACCTAGGTTGATAACCAATCCTACTTTCCAGAGCCAGCTCTGTTCGTAAAAGATACTGGTCCATCATTCAATCCAGTGGAATGGGTCTCGGCAGTGGGATGTCCGGCAGCAGTCTGTACAATACGCGGGGCCGGCAAAGCAATCCAGACATTGCCAAGTTGCCTCCTTTTTGCAAATGGTACAAATGCAGATTGAAGCCTTCCTCTCCAAAAGCTCATGGAGGTATAGATTGTGTTTTGTCTGTTTCCAGACTCTCATATAATCATTGGATGACTGAACAAAGTTAATTAGCTCTTAGTATATGGACATATTGAATGTGAAATTTTACGTTTCTGTGAGGTGGATTGTCAAGAGGAGGAGTGTATTCAATGTATACCAAAATCTTCATTTCCAGTTTCATTGTCTCTTTCCAGGTGGCTGCAGTTCTGCTTTTGTACAGGAGAAGAGGGCAGGGAGGATACAGTGGAGGAGGGAAAATACCTCCTTCCATTTTTTATAACAAGCCAGTTGAAGTGGGTAATACCAGTGGTGCTGTGGGACCTTCTTCCCATGGGTGATTATTCAAATGAGGGGGAAAGGAAAAGGAAAGTGTAGCCATTGAATAGCAACTGCAAATATAAACAAGTGAATCTCATTTCCTGCTTGTTCAGCTTCTGTGGAGTTTATAAAAGAACTAGGACATAATTTGTGCTTGAGAAGGGTTCATTAGGATATATACAACCAGTAGATTTGTTTTTGTACTAATACTAGAACCAGATTCTTATAAGTAAATCTAAACATCAGGCCCTGGTCAGACCTTATGCTGAATTCCCTAAGACATTGAGGTTTCAAAAAACAAAGTATATTTAATAACTACATAAATTTATTTTACTACATTCTATGTACAG